ATATGTCCCAGAAAACTGGAGGAAAAGTTAAAATGTACTCAGCTTTATCCTTTCATTGTTAAGACCTGAGATAGCAACCAACTGTTTTAGCAAGCAATAGAAATGAAAGATGAATGTGATTTATAATTCAATCACTACTATTCAGATCATCATACCAAATGGTAGAGGAATTGGCCGAGGCCCAAAAGGCCCACCGAGCTGAAGTGGCAGTCCATACCGAATGGGAGGTGGTGGAGGCCGTTCCATTGGGGGTCCCATGGGGGGGCCCATGAAGGGTACCCCTGAGAAAGGAGGGGGCCCTTTCATAGCCATATGAACCTGCAACTTAAGATTTGAAAGCAGTTAAAAGTTTTAAAATTCCTATGTATTAAGACAAAGTACCAATACCGATAAAAGCTAAAACCCAAAACAGGCACCTGTCCAGAGAACACCATCAGTGCAACAAAACTCTACCCACCCCTCCTGTGTATTCCCACTGACAGCTTACAGAAGTTGGAAAGATGCCACAAGAGGGAGCAGTTTGTTACTGATTATATCTGCACAGGAAAGGGAAAGGCAAGAGGACTGGCAGAGGTTGTTAACAGAGGTGATTTCTGACCAGTATGTCATGCTGTATTCACTACAATCTATTTCAAAGGGAGTCCCCCCTCCCCATCACTTCCCTTTCATCACGATAGCTCATTACTTCCATATTAAGAATGAACAGAATAAAATGAAAAATCCATTCTCTACCCATGTAATAATAGCTACTATTCAGAGTATCTTCGGTAAGTCTTTCATATATTATTTAACCTCTGAGATCTTTAAGTAGACTGTCTTGTTTTAAATAAGAGGGAACAAAAGCAAATGAAATATCATAATTTGTTGAAGGCCACACTGCATATTAAAGTAACTCAATCCCAGGTTTGCCTCCAAGCCATTCTTTTCCCACCTCTACTCCTCTCTAACAATGGGTCTTTGCTCTCTTTTAAATCTTCTACTACAAAGGGGTTTGGGGTCTTATCTAAGCTGCCCTTAGATTTC